TCGTTTTAAGCCACCCAGTTTGTGATCGTTTACGGCAGCCACAGGAAACTGATACAAGGATCTGTAAGATGAGATGGTCATACATGGTAACTATAGCCAGAGGTTCTTTTTTTCTCCACCCTAATACACTCGAGAGATAGAACAACCAATGGCAGCAAAACTTGGGAGTGCCAACACTTATGAGAGGGGCATGGGGTTGGCTTTAGTTTCCCAGGTAGTGCTGAAGTGTAGCTTCCCTCCTTTGCACGTCACTGCTGTGGAAAGTAGAGTCTACAGAGTCAGAAGAATGGCTAGCTCTGGGCTAGCTTGTGTCAGCAATAAGGGGCTGCATAAACCGCTACAGGACACACTCATGCTGACTCAGGGGGCAGCCTCCTCCAAGGCCACTTTGTTGGTCTGAGTATGGTGTCCACTCTTGGGAAATTTAGAGAAGGTCCAGGCAAGAAGGGACTCAAGGGTTGAAAAAAATACAATCTGCAACATAGACTCTTTCAAACAGATCTCTTTTTTCCTTGATTAAAAAAATGGAGTTAGTCCAAATTAGAAGTTGTTGTAAGATAGAAGGTTGAAAGTACTAAATGGCAGTCAAAAAACACATAGCCCAAATAAGTAAAAAGAAATTAAGATGAAGTCATTGGTATTTTTATGAATTTATGAAGTCAGCGTGGTGTGTGGTGTTGGTGCAGCTAAAACCTATGTACTCAAGTTTAAATTGCAGGTTGATTTTTATGCCCATACATATTTAAGTCAATTGCTTTATCCTCATTTGGAGTTTAGCTTCCAACCTTGCACGAGATCTTGAACTTAATCATGTATTCTAGAATTCAAAATACTAGCTGAAAGCAGTAAAGGTTAGAAGACCTGGGTGCTAGTCCCAATTGCACTGCTGAGTAACTGTGACTCTAGAAAATCACTGGAACCCTGTGAGCTTCCATTCGCTGATCAGTGACATGGAGACCATAGGACTTGCCCCAGCTCATGAGGATCTAGCCTAAAGGAGGCTTGCTTGTCTTAAAGCCTGACACAGGTTCCCCCGAGCTTATCCACTATGTTCTTTCTGGAAGACGAACCCATAAGCCCACGTGAAGGGGGTGGGGGGAGCAGGCAGTCCGCATTTATCGTGCTTCTCTTGTGTGCTGGAACCTGTGTTGATGTTTCATCATATGATTCCCTTTAATCCTCCTGGCAGCCCTGAGAGCAGATGTCAGCATCTTGCTTTACACATAAGACAACCGGGGCTGCGGGGTTGGAACAGCTTGCCCCGAGTCCCCCAGCTGGTGGGAGAGAGGGCTAGAATTCAAACCTAGGCCCATCTTCCTCCAAGAAGCAAGTTCCTTCCTAACTGTCATGCTGCTGCTGCCATTTCTAAAAATTAAAACACTAATCAGAATCAAGTTGGGGGGTTGGGTTTGGATTCTCAGGCTCTTGCAACCCAGCAGAGTGTGCCTTGATGGTCTTGGAAAGTTCTCTTGAAGTTTTTGATAAAATGTAGCCAATGAAGACATACAGCCTCTTTATTCAAGTAGAGGAATATTGATAATTGATAAAATTCTTATATGAAAATAGACAGAGTGGGTCACTAAAGAAACTCAAAAATATCCAGAAACCAAGACGGGTTTCTAGTTAGTAATTTGAATGTTCTCTGAATTGAGTAATCAAGGGGAAAATTGCTCTTTAAAAAAGTACTTTACTGTGTGTGGTTTTAATGAGATAGTAATTCAGAAAAGAATTTAGTTTTCACATTTGTTGGTGGACTTTCTAAGAGAACAGGAGGACAATGGCTAGTACTGAAACGGGTGTTGGATTTGTGACCAGGTGCCTCTTCAGCCACGTGCTTTCAGTCAAAGGCCCCGACCATCCACTGCCTGACATCATTTCAGCATTCAGTTCATGTCGCAGCATGTCTCACGTGTGAGGAGAAGAACTTTCTAAGTGTTTTGATGTCTAAATTATAAATGCCTTTTTTATAGAAAGCAAGCAGCATTGAAGCCCTAAGGATGTTAGGTAAGAAAATGTCACATGATACTGCTCCGAATTGCCCTTGCCAGCAGTTCTACTAATAAATTCAGTTAAGATCCCAGAGCTACGTTTTTTTAAAGCTACTAAAGGAATTGGTTTTTGGCACCCATGAGCTCCTTGGCTGTTTCTAAATGCTGCCAGAGTTGGGGTGATGTTTGTTTTCTCTTTGTTGTGGTGTTTACATGCCCTGGCTTGGGCCACAAGTGAAAATGCATTTGATGATCTCCTGGTCTCACCCAGTCCCTAATGATGTTTGTCTAAACGACAACACCCAGTTTATCGCCGTTGACGCTCCTGCTGCAGTGTAGGACCAGGCTGAGGGTATGGAGTGTGTGCTCTGTGTGGCAGTTGGGGGCGTGAATGGCGAGATTGGGAGCCTTCTATGAAGTAAATTTCCTCCTCTAGTACCCAGTTCTAGAAGCACCTTTTCGTGTTCTCTGTCTCCCATAGTGCCTTAATTTAGGAGTCAGATCATAAATATTCATTGAATCAGAGAATCTCAAAACTTGATATTACCTCCCTTTAACTCTAATGCTGGACTTGGTCTTAGGAGCCCAGATCTCTCAGCCTTGACAAGGACAAGCTTATGACAATCAGATAGTGTCATCCATGATGAGGATGACCGGTTGCTGTCAGGGGCCAATTTACATGGTATTATTCACGCATCCCTTTGTAGGTTTGACTGTGACTTGATTAACATAGCAGCCACTCTTCCAGATATGTGGCTTCCATAGCATATTTAGCAAAATGCATTCGTATTTCTATTTTGTTCACCATTGTCCCGAGCACTGTATGTGGATATGTTGGACGCAGTGGGGCCTTTCAGGAAACAGCAGGACGATTCTAGGCAGAGCATGACAGGTCTTTAGAGGGACGCGCCTCCTCTCACCCAGGCCCACAAGCAGACTGTGGACTGAAAGGGGGAGCCATGAATTGAGCGTTGACAGCGGGCCACGGCTGTCCAAAGGCTCAGGTGGTTGTCAGCCATAAGTTTAGCTCAGCTCTTTGAGTAATTTGTCACGCCTCGCTCGGCCCCTGCTGGGCCAGCACGTGCCAGCTTAGTGTCAGAGTGCCTGTTCACCAGACGGCCACTCAGGCCTAACGTCCTGCTGTTCCCCGGACCAGCGGCTTGCTGGGGCCATGCACGGAGGGCCGAGCCGTGGCGACAGCCAAGTGCTGTGCAGAATAAGCGTGTTCATAATGAGACGTGAATGGCATTAGTGGGTCCCTCTAGAATTGGGCCTGAGTGAACGCCTCTCGCTGAGGAAGTTTGGCAGCCTATTCGTTAAGGCAAGTCACCAGGAGTTCAGCCCACAGTTGAGAAACCAGCTCAGGCTCACGCTGTCCAGGCCTTAGGCTGTTGTGACCATCTCTATAAAAGATTATAAATCATCAGCGGGGCCACTTTTGAAATCTTCCAACTCGTTTTCCCTTTTTAAAGTTGCACAGAGCAAGCCTAAAGAGAATTCTGGAATAGCGCTGCCCAGTAGCTCTTTCCACACGATGGGCATGTTCTATATCTGTGCAGTCCAGGGCGGTAACCCCAACCACATGTGGCTGTTGGGTCCTTGAAATATAGCTAGTGGGACAGAAGAACTGAATTTCTGTTTTTTTATTGTAGTTAATTTAAATTTAGATAGGCACATGTAGCTCATGGCTACCGTATTGGACAGCACAGCCCTATAGAATGCCCCTGGTTTCCTCATGGTGGAATATCTCTCTCTGAATATAATTAAAGGAGGAAGAAGAGCCTGCATTGAGAAATCCGTGTACATACTTTGGCAGAAGAAAATAGAAAAATATTTTCCTATTTTAAAACACATGCTTATTGAAAGCTAATTGGAAGGACATAATTTTCACCAACTTATATTTTTAAGGAGGCTATTTTGAAAAAATAGTTTTAAAATATAGTGAGAAATGCTAGAATTACTTTTGCTCTTCTGGAGCTGCAAATAATAAAGTGCTGGTGATCCACATTCCCTATATTCCTGGAGAATTAGCGTGATTTTTAACTTTTGCATTGATCATGAGGAAGGGGAAAATGAGACGTCATGCCGACTTCCCCAAGTGTTAATTCATAAAGTCGTAAGTGGAGTGCCTCCATCCACTGTCGAATTGTTCTGACGTTATCCTGTTATTGGAAGTGCATGATTCACCTTCCGAGGAAACAGAAGCCACACACAAAAGGGGAAGATTTGCTTTCTGCCCTGTGAAAGGCTGCCACACGCAGGGGTCCTATTAAGACAGCTGGAAAGTTGCTTCAGTGTGTTACGCTTGTAAGTTTTATTGGTGACTGGTTTTTGATTACACATTTGAATGCGTGTGTTCCAGACTGCAGTTTTAATTAAAAGGCAATAGTCTTTTTTTATTGCATTGTACACTCTCTGCTAGATTCTCCCAGTTATTAGTTCTTATTTTCTAGTGTTCATAGCCTATCTTGGCTTGAGGCTCTGGTGCCCCTTCAGAGCATACCTTCCTGGCCTTCCCTCTTCCCAGGGACGTGCATTGTCTTATTTTTTTTTAAAGTGTGTGCAGCATCCTATCACCAATTCTTTCTTGAAGTATCAATTCATTTTATCAGGAGACTGAGAAGAACATTTTATCTTCTGAACTAGGAAGGGAAGATAACGCCCCACAGTTGTCAGTGGAAAGAGGTGCTGTCAAAATCAGGGCATCTGTTTTTGTTTGTTGGATCAACCTTAATGATCTTGATGTGATTCTGTAACTATTGGTGTACGTGGTTTTTAGTGATGCTAGTGTTGGATGCAGTTGAAGTCAAAGAGAAATTTAAGTCTCAAAATCAGAATTTTATCATTAATTATGACTAATATTTAATTCTTTGGCAGGATGTTAATGGACTTGCAAGGTACTTTTTTCCCACACAAATGTAAAAGTTGCATAACTGTTTAAACAAGTGAACTATGTCGTTGTTACAAGTGTCATTCTACACATGCGCTTCTTTCCTTAACTGGTTACTGCAGCTACGAAGAGCGAGCTCTGTATCTTGAAGCAATAATTCAGAACCACCGTGAAGTAATGACATTTGAGGATTTTGCAGCCCAAGTCTTCTCTCCCTCTCCCAGCTCCTCCCTCAGTGGAACGGGTGAGTGTCTACATTATTCTTCCCTCACGCGCGTAAGACGCACTCGAGCAGCAGATGTACACCTGTTTTTCACAGATAAATGCTTGCAAATTTAAGAAGAGCATTCTCCCTCTGAATCAACTAATGAATATCAAAAGGAATGATGACATTCATTTTAATTTGTTTTGTATCCGAGCTGTTCACTCAGTTCTTTTCTTCAGCTATCCTGTTAACCTCCAAATCTAGCAAGGTTAATGAACTTTTCCTCAGTAATGTGCTCCAGTTCATTCAGGAGTGTGGGCTTCTTGCTGAGCTGGGAATATGTTGTTTAAAAGCGATGCCCGAATCAGTGCTTACTTATCAAAAAAGAGTTCCTCACAGTCGAAGCCGTTGCTACTAATGCTAAATGGGGATTATGCTGCCGAGATACTCGGGTCAGGGATTAATGCAGGAGAAATGGAAGGACAGTGTCCCCTGGTCCATCATTACAGCAGTGCAGCGTGTGCGCTTTCTCTCTGGAGTGGTCGGTGTCACATGGACAAGCCTCGGACCGGAGCAGCACCTGGTGTAGAAACTGTTTAGAAACTAGCTTACAATCATTTTCATTTATTCGGCCAATGGAAATTTCAAAAATTTCCGTGAATATCCTTGTTTTTACTCTTTCTATATTTCCAATTTGAAAAAAAAATTTGTACTGCCGCTTAAACTGATTATATGATTACTGTGGTTTTTTTCCAAAGTATAGAATTACTTGTAAATTTCTGTGTGTAATTACAGATTAATTGCCTTTCAGAGAGTAAATGGGATATTTAGTCAACGCATGTTGAAATTCTCAATGAGGGGCTTCCTTCTTTTTCCACTGGTGTAGACATAACTATTAGAGAGCTTAATAGATTTCTAACCTGTGTCAATTGTCTCTAAACACTGCCTTACTTCTCCTATTCTGACTTGTTAACAAATATCTTACACACAAAGTGAAAAAAATTAAATTCAGTGAAATAAATCACTTACAAATAAAATCAGCCATGCATCATTGTTTAACATCGCTGGCTTCAATCCTTGCCTCTCGGAGCTTTGTTGGGAGATAAGAGGGAGAGGCTTGCTCTTGCACAGGGAGCCAGGAGCAGCAGGCAGAAGGTCTGGGAGATAAGCAAGCTGGCCGAGGTAGAGCCGCGTGATTTACATAATCACGCCTCTGCTTCCTGGTGAGGCGTCAAGAAACACAGGGATGGCCTCTATTGATCTTTGTTGAACTGGAATACTAAACAACATGAGAAAAGCTTATAACTTAAAGCTTTGATTAATGTTTCTTACATTAAAAAAGTAGAACAGCTGTGAGTTGAATTCTTTTGTACACTCTGCCAACATTCTATCTAAAACCAAAAAAAAAGAATCAGTTTCAAGGGAAATGAAGATTTCATACCCAGGCTGGCTAGAGGTTTAAAATCATTTCTAATTTTTAGGTGAAAGAAAGATCTGTAGCAAAGCTAATTTTTTAAAGATCTCATTCAGCTTTTTCCTATCATCATGAGATATTGAAACTTAATTTTTCAGTGCAGGGTTTTGGTTTTTTTTTTTAACTCTTGAGAAAGCTTTTTGTTTCTTAAATTAAAAGAAATTAAAAAATAACTAAATATTTACATTCCTTAACTGTTACATTCTTAAGGCTCATGATTAAGACGTTATTGAGAGAAATATTGGTGAACTTTATTTTCTATGTATATTTTAGCCTCCATATAAATTAATTTGATGTTTTCCAAAAGGTCAAAATTATTTAAACCAATTCAAATGAGTCAGTGTGTAGGTAACGTCTTAAGTGACACTCCAAGGAGTAATTGGGATTTTTTAAGACCTGCTATTTGGAGAGGATTGCTGACAGGCTTCTCCAGGAAGATCGCATTTGCCAAAGTCACTTAACAGATAAAGGTTCTGACAGTTCGTACGAGTGAGCATTGGAACCTGTGTAAAAGGAACATGAAACCAAAGATGGGGTATCAAGACAAATGCTGGTCCTTCCTCTTTTCAAATTATTAACATCAGTATTACATTTCATAATGTTCAGGGTTAAGGTATTCGGTGTTGAATGATAAAATTTTTTTATACACGTATCACATCAATCCATGAATGCGATTTTAACTCTGGGCATAACGTTCTCTTTTAACACTTTGCATATCTGCCCACAACAATGATTAGGAAGGAACTAGAAATGAACTTGATTTGAACCGAAGTTTGGGGGCAGTGCAGTGAGGGCAGAGCATCTCTGTACCACATACAGAGACATTTTCAGAACCACATCCTCTTCTCATTTACTTAGTCGTTTTGCTTTCGAGGAATCTCTATCCCTGTCTGTTACCACTTTTAGAGATGAAAACATTTTTCATTTATTCATGGTGTTTTCTATTTTCTTGGGACAAGTATATCAAACCCAGATGAGCCAGCCAGCTTAAACTAAGAAATTGAGGTGAGGTCTGCTCTTTCAAGCAACAAGCCAACTGGAAAAATTGACCGGCTTAAGCTGCCACAGTGCACTTAGGACCCAACAGACCCTCTCGGCCAGCAGTGTCATCAAAGCAGGCCTTGGGCTCCTGCTCCCATGCATATGCACAGTCTGAGGAATCAGGGGCTCCCAGGTTTTCTTTGTGTCCTCGCAACAAGGGGCTTTGTCGTTAATGCAGAAGGAGAATAACCTGAACGCTGTATGCATTCCACGCTGTACCAGTAGCAGCAAGCAGCCCTCATTTCTAGAGGGAAGGCCTCTCATGTCAGCCTTTAAGTCCTGGGTATAAGTAAGAGATGTGCTAAGTGGGAGTGGCCTGTGCCCAAAGATGCTCTTTCCTCAGACTCTCCCTGCCCCAGTGCTGTTGCTCGTCACCCACAGCAGCCACAGAGGGGCACACTGGCCAAGTAAACGGGCTGCTATTCAGGATGCACTGTCACCCCCAGATGAGGATGTAGGGTCTTTTGTGTTAGGTGAATAATGGGTGCTCAGCTTTTTTAAAAGAGGTTTTAAAAAAAAAAACCTATTTTTCCAGTCAGAAAATGTTATTTTAAAACACCACCTGCCTCCTATCTATTCCGCCCATTGCTTGTATTGATGATGCCCGGTGTATAATAGGTATTTGAGCTGCTTTTTTACCTAGCCTTATAGTTTATGTTCCTTTTGATTCCTTACTTATTTACCAGCAATAAGTAGCCAGTGTTAAAATATTGGCCGCAATTAACACACACACATATATATGTGTGTACATATAAACCTATATTTTATATATATATATTTAACACACACACACACATCGGGGTAAGGGAGTAAGTTTGTGTTTTCAAGAACGTTTCCGAGGAAGGGGGGCTGGCAGAGAGGCCTTTCAAGAGTTAACTGGAATGGGCACCCTAGACTGCTGGGAGGGACTGATGTAATCACTGCAGCTCACAGCCAAGTGCATCTGTTCACCATGAGGTCATTCTTCTGCATGCTAATGATCTGGAAAATCAAGTCTAATGTTTGACATTATCCGAAAGGATATAAATAGTATAAATCTTTACTTTTTGAAAGCTGCTCTTATAAGACAAAAGGAGAAAAAAGAAACTAGCTTGGACTTGAGATTTTTTTTTCCAGAACTACTTTAAAGATTGTTATCTGGACCTTATATCTTGGAGGAATCCACTGGGGTCTGTTGATAAACGAATCCCCAAATCACTGTTACAGTCACAGCTAGCAATTTGGTAGTTGAGGACTATAAGTATGTCTAATTTGATATTTAATTTTAAGAATTTCCAAGTACCTTGGTCAGAAGTTGATAAAGATGGATTTTTCTCAAAGAATGTCTAAAACCAAGTTACATGAGGGATTCTTCTCGAATTGACTGCGTTTGCTGAAGATGCCAACACCGTTTATGATTCCCTTCTACTTTAATATTGCTGTAGGGAGCCAGCAGAGGGAGCACAGATCTTTGTTTATTTGTTAGCCCTACATAAACACAACATTTGATTTCTCCAAGATATGGTCAGAAACACTTTTTCCTTCATGATAGGCTAGATTGTAAAGTCTCCAGGATTTAGAACAACTGGGAGAAAATTCCTCACTAGGCTCCGTGAGATTCTGCCACTTTTAATGTAGGTCATATTTGGAGCTTAAACCAGATTAGTCTGAGTCGGTCTCAGGATACTGCTGCCACTGCTGCTATTGTACAAAACTGCAAACTTTCCTCTTTCACGCTCAGGAATTGCACAGATGCCCTCTTGCTCACCTACCTGATAAAAAAGACTTTTGTAATTTTTTTCTACAACAAAATCATTATATTAACTTCACAGAAACTATCAGAAGTCTCTGCCTGATGTTACTGGGTCATTCTGGTGCCAATAAAATCTCCTCATAAGACTGCAGACACATAACACGTTGGTCCCAAAGTGAATCTGGCGTATGTCAGTGCTACACAAAGTACTTTTATGACTCACCAGCCTTTGCCTGGAGGAGTAAAGTTACACCCAGCATTCACTTGCTAAGACCTTGAACCATATACAGTGGTTACATGTGCCAGGATGTTGCAGGCTTGTCATTCTGCACACAGATCCCAACACGGCCATTTCACTGGGCAGTTAGCAATCAAGTTGATCCCCAGAAACAGTACGAGGTAGACTCTAACTCTAACCCCCAAAAGATGAAAGATTGTCCCCATTCATTGAGGTGATCGTGTTATAGAGTCATTCAGTGTTTCCTCTCTCTCTCCTTCCCTTCCTCCCTCCTTGTTAAAGTGCTCTTAATAAGGTTTTGATTGATATCATTTCTTATGTATTAACCTTCCTCATAAATTTGCCGAAACCAGCAAAGAACCTCATAGAATATAGAGCTAGAGGAGGCTTCACGAGATATCAAGTCTAACCTCTTCACACCAATTTTGAGCCAGCTGAAGACCAAGCCATGAAGGGACAAGCAAAGGCCATGGGCAAGTGACAGCAGGGCCAACTCAGCCCTCACCACTTGTTCCACATTCTCTTTTCTTCCACAAAGTAGAGTCAATGCAGGT